TCAATCAATATTATTAAGGCTGGACGAGATACATGACAGTTTAGGGGCATGTTTTATGGGAGAAGATTGAAAACAGAATGATGAAGCCAGAGCAAGTTTTAGAGAGACTTCCATTCATCACTGTAGTACTGCAGAAATCCCATTCCTCCCTCAGACTCTTTTTCAAAAACTCTTGTTAAGCAGGAATTATATCTGCAACTAGCACTCTAGATCAGTTAATGGGTAGTGATGGCAAAGTTCATAAGTTCATTAAGTTCTGATTTGGATGGCTATAGCATATTGCAATTTTAAACTTTGTTTTTATCTGTCTACGCATAAATCCTACTTCCTACTGGTATTATGATTGCTTTATTGTAACTGAAACAACCAAACATCAAATTAAATTTTCTATTTCACCTGTTTAGCTCCTAAATTCATGAAGTTGTTGTCTCATTTCCTCCAGAGACAAACAGGCGTGAAACAGTAATTCATGTACTGCAATAACTCTGCTATATGTTTTTCATATGCTGCCTGCAGGCACAGTGAATAAGAATAAAATTGGAACAAAACACCAACAGATCTTGCTCTGTTTTCTGTATCTATGCTTTTAGCTCCCACTCTCTGATTATTTGTTACAGTTCCTATAGCTCTGGGAAATGGCAGACACAGATACTGTGAATGCAGCAGCCCTTCTCCCTTCAGGGTTTCATTCCCAGGGTGAGAGGAAGGATGGCAGAATCAGCATGCTGTTCTCTCCCCTCTTCCCAGGCAATGATCAGTGGCTCATGGAAAATTTCATACCAAGAAAGTCACAAGTGGGTATTATGAGGAAGTCTCATGAAAAGAGTCGATGAAGATGTAAAATTTTAACTAACATTTTGCATTCTATGAGTATATTGTATCACTGCTTCTCTGTATAATTTGGTTTCTACAGCAAAGAAGGGAAGCTTCTTTCTATAAGAGTAAATTGATACTACATATTGCCCTGCCTCATTCCCCCTTGTTAACCCGTGGGCACAAAAGGACTCTCTTCCACCCCCAGGATCCTCTTTGCATTAAAGGGAAATGTCCTATCACCTCCCATATCAACTGGAAAGTATATGGGCATCAAGAACCCCAAAACCAGACAGCTTTCTGAATGTCCTCAGTAGTAAACATATTATTATCCTCTCAAAATGAATGTTTCCAAGGGAACAAGCAGAAAAGAAGATATGAGAAATGCAATTGTAAAAGAGAAAAACAAACCCCCTCAAATCTACACTTTTTTTTTTTTTCAAATTTACATATATTTATGTTATTATGTTGCAATTATGATCCATGGACTTTTTATTTCATTCATTTATTAACTGCCACAGTTACTTGAATTGCCAAGATTAAGCCTCTATCATGAAAATAACTGCATGCTCATAAAGAAATTACTATTCTAAAAAAGCATATCTAAACAGACAATAGGAAGCATCAATCATACACTGATACAAAAAAACAAAACCAATAAACAACAACAAAATCTGCAGCAGTCAGAGCAAATCTGTACCAAAGTCAGGAGCATAAAGGCTGTGAGACAACTGGAGCCACTGCAGGATCCCTGATTGAAAACAGTTTCCTCAGAAATTTATGGTGTACCCATAATTTTACTGTTTCTTGTGATAGCATAGTGTTTTTTCAGCAGAGGTGTCTGGTTTTGTACTTCCTCAAGCAAGTCACCAAGCCATCTTGACTAATTTTGTTTTTTGGATAGTCTTTAGTGAAGCTTTGAAACAGATCCCTAGGTTTTAATATAATTCATAACATATTGGGCTGCAAGTTCAAAACAAAACAAAAAAAACAAACCACAACAGAAAAGACAGAAAATTGCATTTCCAGATAGCCTTTGCTGATTACTAGACAAGGATTGTTCATTCAGCTTTGAGCAGAAAATTGAACCAGACGACCTTCTGCAGTACATTCAAACCTGAATTATCCTACAGCCTTATGAGATCCCTAGGTATGTTTTCAGAAGTCACTTATGACTTCATTTGCATGGAACTTATTACTATCTTCCCTCAGACTAAGTAGAAAGGCAATGGCATTATTACCTGTAAAATCACTCCCAATCCCTCTTGTCAGCAATGATTTTAAACTGTTTGCTAGGATGTACATGTTACTTTGCATGGATGAAAAACTCATTATTAAGAAAAAAAGACATGGACATGAAACAATAAAGTCTTTAAGTCTAAAACTCAGAACAATGAGAATTCTTAGTTTGTACAGATTAATTTTCATATATACCTCTGAAATCAGATGACAATGAGAATTCTATGAGTGCTGTGCCTGCAGCCAGAAAAACCTCTCAACAAAATGGGGTTATTAATATGAAGGTTTTTCTCAAATACAGAATTTTGATGTAGCTTCTGTTTCATACCAAAAATATTATTTGAGCTATTCTTAGTAGCAGAATCAGTGGAGTTGTATATATCTCTACCTTGTCAGGAAACACCACAACAATAAGCAGCAAAAGCTGTAGTCCACTTACAGCTAATAATTACCTGTCATTAATAGATCAATAAACATCTGGAGTCCTGACTTGTTTAAATATGTTAACTGATCAATTTCTCCCTGGAAGCATGTTGTAAAGTGACAGGATTCACAAGACACAAAAAGTGAAAAAGCTGAATTGCTTAACTATCTTCTCTGTTTTCTCAGTTCACTTTGATGCACTTTAAAACAAAAGGACCTTTCTATCCTAAGTGGTTTTTAAACATCTGAAATATGTATCTGTAAAGGTCAAGGCCACAAACACTATCCTGATCCCATGATGCTAACAGAGGTTTTACTATTGGCTGCAATACCACCAGCACTTTTCTCACTTCCTGAGAAATACAAGATTTTTTTTCTTGTTTTTTACCTTTTTTTTTTTTTTTTTTTTCATTTCTTTGTGTGGGAAATGTACTGCAATGATTTATATGCAAAGCTCAGTGGTGGAAGATGCCACATGAGTGCTTTGAGCTGTGCTGTGAGATGAATAGGGTGTCATAATATATTCAGCAAATATGGCAACCCTCCAGAACAGAGAAAGGTATGAAAAATTATTTCCTTAGTTTAGAAACCGTACACTGAAGCCAAGAAGCCATAGAAAGAAAATGTATTGGCCTCTTTCCCACTTACACACAAATCACTGTTGTTCTATGTGTACAAACCACTAAAAGTGTTATGCAAACACTGCAGTGTGATTTTTTGTTACTGTCTAGGTAAAAATAATCTTTTTGCTTCTTTCTCTTGCTTAAAAAGAAGCAAAACCTAAACCCATATTATAGAAAATCTGTTCAAACTCACTTTCCAGACAAAAAAATGTCTTATAAAGAATTTCTAAGAGAAATTATTTTTCTGTACAAAAGGTGAAAACATGAAGAAGGAGATAGTTGCAAAATACACTCAAAATTTTCTAAGAGCCTTAAAAATGTAAGTATTTGGAACTGCTTGTTCCTTAGAAAAAAAAAATCAGCAAGTTAGTATTTTGTGTGCTGCTTAATTGCCCTTTAAATCTAGAAGCTAGGGTAAACATCTGCAATTACGGCATATATTTATTATAATATAAATATATATTAACAAGTACAAATTGAAATAATAGTCTTATACATATCAAGAAGAAGAATCTAACACTGCACTCTGTGCAAACGATGAGCTTTCTAAGCCCAGTATCTCCAGCTCTATTACCAAATAAAATTTGCCTTCTAAATACCTGCCAAAACTGCATTCATACACAACTTTTCTGAAGCATATGCAAGCAGGGAGTTTGTATCCATCAGCAGAATCTAATCAGAACACCTCTAGTTATGAACATGATTCAGGATCCTGTGCATCAAGGCTCAAGAAGGAAGAAATCATTTCCCACATTGCAGGGTCTCTGTGCTACGCTAAATTTAGCAAAATAACAGCAACAGAGACAAAGCATGCATTAGAAATAGTTAAAAAGCAGCAGGGAGGATGGAGAGGAATAACAAGCATTACATGTCTATTAACTAATGGAATGCTTATGGAAATAGGAATAAGATACACATGCATTCCAAATGAATACTTATCTATAGCACCATGAGAAAATATTCAAAAAAATTTATGAGGGAAAGCAACCTAAAGTATAACACTGTAAGCATGCAGCCACCAAATTAATCTGAAATGCATTTGAATTGCTCTTATCACCATGAACTCAGTTCACAGTCACCAAAATGTGTTATATGTTCCCACTTATAAACCAGTTTCCCTAAGTACCATTAAGATTTATTCAACACCAAAATTTATCATACACAATGAGAGCATATGTAAAGTACTTGCTCCATATTAATAGAGCTTTTAAAATACAATTCCTTCTTTGTGCGCTAATTCTGGAACAACTAATACTTTTGTCTTTACTGGTTACAACTAACATTTGTTGAGGAGGCACATATAGAAAGGGTCTCTTTTCCAGTAAAACTACACAGCAAAAGAACAATCTTATGCTTAATCTACTTGTAGGTAATAGCATATAATTTCTCACACAATTGCATTACTGACCATGCCAGTCTCTACAATATATAAGGCATATGATTATCCTTTCATTATTATTAAATGCTCTGCATTTAAGAAACTGTTTCAAAAGTGTTAGTGGAAAAATTCTAACCTTCATTCAACCCTTGCTGACTGTAGCATATGAAAGCTGACAACCAGAAAAACAGGATAAAGTTCAAAGCAATTTTTCAATGCCTCTATTGATTAAACTTTAAAAGCTACTGTGTTTACCGAATGCCTCCTGCTTTAAGGAGCAACAGATCTGAGAGGAGAACACACAAACACTTAGTGCAATACCAATCATTTTAGTAGGGAGCAAACAGGCAAATTTTCTTAAGAAAATAGTGTCTTCTGTATTTTCACCCTCCTTGTCATCTTTAACAAAGGAGAACAAAGAAGTATGTTCAATGAATGTACTTACCTAACAGCAATACCTGTTAAATTGTTGAGCTAAAGCTCTTTAACACCGTATTTAATGGATATCCCCAATCTCAGCCTACCTGGTGTATTCAGCAGCCGGGACATTTTGCAAGAATAGGAGATAAACTGCTCACAGTATTCAGCACTACTGGTAATGGCAGAAATCTGGTCCATTGATGCACTGTAGTTCAGCTGCAGCACAGATAACTTCTCCTGGCTGCTACCTCCCACAGAAGTCTGCATTTGCAGATCATGGTACACAGTTGTCCATACTTTATCCTCTGAAAGAGAGGGCGAGAAAGACAAGACAAGAACTGGTAAGAGACAGACAGGGGAACCGAGTTCAAATAAATTCAGGCCTTTGTCAAAAGATAAAACTATTCCACAAGACAGTTGTTGATATTTGGTAGTGGGGAAGGAGGGCACTGCACACAAAAGTTCATCATGTGACAGCATAGTTCCAGCTATGAACTGATGAAGGGAAGAAACTCTGATCACCTTTATGAAAAGATATCAAAGATACCATGTGAGAAGTCTTCCTTAAACAACTGATGCTTATAGTTACATATGGAACTAATAAGGATTAACTTTGGTTAGAAAGGCAGAAGGCTGATGCCCTAAAGATTCAAAGCCTTTATGTGAAGAACATTCACTGCACATGGTAAATTGATGTGGGCTGGAGTGAAACACTGCTTTAGTAAAGTAGTAGTAAAGTAACAATGAGGATTCACCGAATTCTCATGTGGTTACACATTTAGTAATTAAGACCAAAAATTTTTCCACATTATTTATCCAGGATGTGTTCTAGGGTAAAACAAAATTACTGCTTATTGAGACTTAAATATTTTAAAATAGTATCACCATATAACTTTACTGATTATGGTTATGGTGCAGATAGCACCACAGGAACTAATCAAAGTAGAATGGAAATACAAAATATATCTGTTTAGTTGTGAAAAGGCACAAAGAAGGAAGAAAGACAACTTCAAATTTTTTGATTTCTCTACAGCAATATTGGCCAAATCCCAACACCTGCTACAAACTTTTTTGCAGGGTCATGCAGGGAGTATGTTTTATCCAGCCCAGAACAATGTCTGTATACATTTTATTTCTCTAAATCACTGAACAGCAAGTCACTAGAAACGTAACTGTGAACCATTTGTCTGTAGTTACCAGAGAAGATTTAAGATGAAGTATTATAATAATGAAACAGCACATTCCACACTCCTTTTATAGCAAGATTTGTTGAAGTTGGATGGGAGTTTAGAAAGGAAACGAAGACAAGGCACAGAAACTTTGCTGTTATAGACCAACCATTTATTTTTCTTAGAGAGAAATTCCACTGAACCAAAAAGAAAAAAATATTATCTGAGTAATATAGGGCTTCAGAATGATAACTAGGAAGATTTGGTCAATATTATTGATACTGTCTTCCTGTAAGAATGCTATTCTATCACTTAGGTGTGAAGAATTTTTAAAATTTAGGTTGACTAGGTACCACTCTAAAAATCCACTATCTCTGCTGAAATGTACTACTTATGTTGAGCATCTCACATAGACAAGGGCTGAAATAGGTCAATTATCCTCTGTAAACAAACCACAGAAAATTCTCTTTTCTCCAGACATTAACCTGAAACACATCACCACAAAACTTCCTAGAAGTGAATCAGATTTTGTCAGTAATATTTGTCATGTAAGGCTTTTTCATATTTTAAGTTGTTTTTCAGTTTTTCTTTTAATTCTTCTGCCTTATATATTTCCACTCCTGAGGGCAAAGTCAAAGAAATCTGTCTTGGAATAAAAAGTAAACCTTAAAAACATCACTAAGAATCTATTCTGGTGCCTTAAGCTGGCTTGTGGGAAAGCCCAGATTCCCAAATGAATCAGGCCTTTGCCCCAGCTGTTCTGTCAAGCAACACCATTGACCACAGCTGTCCTTCAGAGATACAAAAATAAAACACACCCACACTGCTAACTTTGCTGTATTTATCACAAAAACAGACTCTCCAGGGAGATCACCTGGCATTTTCTAAGTATACTTATTCACCTGACAGATGCGCCATACAGCGATAAAACCCATAAAATGTGGTGCATTGCAGTATGTTTTCAATTCTCCTATGTAAATCTCTTGCCTGTTAATGCAAATCTCAGTCATTCTAAAACTTGTGGCCTGCACTTCAATATTTTAACAACATGGTAACATCTTGCTAAACTGACACACACTCAAAAGTGCTTCAGTAATTCTTCACCAAGTTTACAGGAATGTGCTCACATCCACTGATGAGTTTTGGTGTGACCCTGGGTTAAGACAACTCTCCACACTATGATTATCCTTATCTCCAGGATTCTGTGCTCTGCCTTATTTTCCAGTCCTAATTTTTACTGCATAGTGTCAGGCTATTTTGGATTATATTGGAATCATGCGGACCCATGTGTTTGCAACTGATATGGTGTTAAGTCTTTCTAATCAAATGTTCAGAGATAAGGTAAGCAAAGCAGACAAATCCTCCACAGGTTGTACACATGACTAGCCAAATGAAATGAAATTCAGCATATGATGCAAGATGGTTATTATTTTAGTATTCATATCCTTAGTCCAAAGCTCTTTGTAAAACACAGCAATATTCTTGCATTGAGAAAAAGAAAGTAAAAAACCAGGAGAAAGGAATCGTGCTCCCAATTACCAATAAAAAATTTTTAATTGTTACCTGTCAAATTACATAAAGAATATAATCCAGTTTCGTTAAGAGCCTCATATGGAAGTTTCCTGCAGATTCATTTTCAAGAAAGGATTGAGATAGTTTATACATTCACTGACAAAAACGTCTCATTTGTGGCAGAAAACACTGTACATGTAAGAACACAAAAGTGTCAGTAAGGAATGTGCTAGGGCAGTTAGAGTCTCATTTTGAATTTTTGATCCAGCTAAGACTCCTAGTCTAGCCACTAAGAAGGTACAGAATGTGACTAGCAGTAGGAATTGTGTTAGGCACAATGTTTGAGGAGGAATTTTCCTATGGATAGCAGATTCTAGTCAATATACAGTCACTTCCCCTCCAAGTTAGGAAATTTAATCTTTACTGTGGCACACTGTACTAAAGATGATATAAACACACCCTTGTCAGTCAAATGCATCCTCTGAACAACTTCAGAACCTTTCTGTCAAAATATAAGTACTACTAATGGTTAAGTGCTTGTTGCACCTTGTAATTGATCTTTTTATCAATAAACATATATATGTGCATAAAGTCAATAATCATTTACAGAAAAGCAACTTAATCTCTTCCTGCTGTCTAAAAGATGATGGGAGATTGACTAGCATACATCTGGTCAGATACTGAAAATAAACCTAGGTCTTATTGCACTTGCAACTAATTTTTTGATAGTCTGGCTCAAATGACCCATGAACACATTCAGCAAGCGTCTTGTCCAAACTCTGGAAGCTGAAGCATCTGTGCCTGCAGGTCAGGCACAGAGAGAGGGTGAGGCAGAAATTGCAGCTAATGTACAGGAAGGAAGTATCTTCTCTGGGTATCAATGCTCATCACATATTTCCCTGATTTAAGTGTAAAGCACTGCCGTGACACAAGGACCAAAACTGGACAGGATGGTATGGCCTTTCCTGGGCTGGGAAAGCACATTAACAGACAAAAATCTATCTCCCCTCCACATTGCTATTAGAGTTTGCTATTGCTATTAGATTACCAAATGCAGATTCGTGAATACATGTAGTTATACATTTGTGGGGCTGGCTTCAAGGTGTCTGAAAAGACTCAAAGGAGATAGATGCTAGGCAGAAATCTCAACCTTATCTACTGAGTGTTGATTATAAACTGCTTTTTGCCTTTTAGTCTTAAAAATTTGTTAAGTGTGTTTATACTTTCCATGGAAATCAGCTAGGCATTTGTAACTTGAAGATGAGGCCAATATCTTCACTCATGTTTTCAGTTTCTCAGAAACTCCTTATTTCTTGAGACCATTCTTGAGAGAGATGGAATCAGTACCCTGCTTGCAGTCACCTTCCATTACAGAAAAGTTAATGCAGATAGTTCACACTATCTCAAATATCTGTATCTTCACCATTGATGGTATTGCCCCCAAGTAGCTGAGAATAGGATATGGTATTCATAGTTAATATATCATTATTTTCTGTCAATAGTACACAGAAGTCCCATTTAAGGTATGCAGAAGTGAAAAATCTGTCCTAGTTAACAGTAATTTGATACATATTCCTGGCAATTCCTGTCACCACAACACTGGAATGAGTATTCCCCTAATACACAAGCAGTTATTTGAAGAACACCTGGCATTTGGCTATTGCTAACCACAAGTGTTTAGAGACAATTTGTCAGCCACAGCTGTGTGTATGACTTAGGCACCACCAAAATACCGTTCCCCTACACATGGAAGTATATGAGGTCCTAACTGGATTAACTAGGCTGATTCTAGCTTTCCCACTGGAGGACAGAGTACCAGCACCAGCTAATTGCTAACACTTCAGGAAAATAAGGGCCTCAAAGATGACTACTTCTTCATTCAAATGCATGTCTTAGAGGTTTTTTTAATGGTGCATAGCATGTTGCAGTTGCACAGGAAAACAAAATAATGGCAGAACCCTTTTTTTTTAGCAGTGAAGATGAAGTAGAATTTTATTTGAATAGAATGCCAAAAGCCAGTATCCATAGATTCTTAATAGAATTCATAATGGTTTTCACTAAGAACAATCTAATTAGATCCAAACTGCTGATACATTTGATGCAATTATAGAGAAAATAGGTTCCCTCTAATTTAGTCTGTACATTACTCTTCACTGAAACTGTTCTTCTCTAACAGATATATATTATAGTAAGATTAAGTTTCTTAATTTAAGAATAATTTTTCTAAGAAAGGAAATGACCACTGTCATTTATGTCCTTAAAATGACAATAAAGTGACATAATTTATTTTGCTGAAATTACTTTTCAGTTGCAATGACTGATCTACAGTTCTACCCACTCACTACTCCTTTTTCCAATAAAAAGTGAAGTAGGTGGCTAATAAAATAATCAATAAGTATTAGTAATGGTTCACTAATAAAAAGGGAAATGAAATAAAAAACTTCCTTTTTCACCAGCTATTCAAGTGATCAAATAAAATATTAACATAAGTGATTTTTCCCACTTAATATTCAGGGTATTTCATGATATTATGATATTTATCATTATGCTATTGAGTATTTTGCAGATAGTCAGTTTTTGCTATCACTGAACTTTACTCATTTGCTTGGTGATCAGTTAAGCAA